AGCTGAAGTTCGTCAGTTACAAACAAAAACTTCAGCTCTAGGGCTGAAGTTCGATAGTTACAAAACAAAAACTTCAGCTCTAGAGCTGAAGTTCGCCAGTTACAAAACAAAAGTTGTAGTTCGGCAGTTACAAAATAAAAACTTCAGCTCTAAAGCTGAAGTTCGCCAGTTACAAAACAAAAACTTCAGCTCTAGAGCTAAAGTTCGTCAGTTACAAAACAAAAACTTCAGCTCTAGAGCTGAAGTTCGCCAGTTACAAAAACAAAAACTTCAGCAATTACAAACAAAAACTTCAGCAAATAGAGAACAAAACTTCAGCTACTATGCTTAAGTTCAGCAATTACAAACAAAAACTTCAGCACACTTGCTACTTCAGTACCGTCTACTAGAATGCTGAAGTTTTGCGTGATTGTCTTTGCTACTTCAGCCCCGTATGCTGAAGTTACGTGAAAAAAGTGGGTACGTTTGCAATTTTTTTTTGCAAAGCGGACACAAATTAAAACGTGACCTAAAAAGCGGGTATAGATGCAAATGTTCCGATCGATCACTATGGATAACCCCTCCAAACCAATTGGGCCGTCGCGAAGGACATAGGTTCATTTTTTTGTTTCGTTATTAACCCATTAATCCCTAGTTAAGTCGATTGTATCTGTATAATATAAGACATCACACAATAATTTCATAAAAACTGGTCAGACGACCGTTGAAGGATTCCCTAATCCAAAAACTGGATCAAGATTCCCATCATTCCCCAAACATACTTTCATAAAATAGCATTACAAAGCAGCAACTTTTGTTTTTATTCCTCAAACAACATAAACAATCACACGTTAGGTGACAATATTAATTATTTTATATTTTGAAAAAATAATAAAGAGCCCTTTTAACGGCTCTATTGACAGACTGCCTCCCCCCACCCTACCCCCAGCCCGCCGAAGTCAAAATTTGAAATGCCTCTTCTGCATCTATTTCAATTACCCCAAAAGGTTCCCATTTTTAATTGAGTGGTTTTCTTGAACTCTGAACCCCTTTTCCCTTTTTCCATTTATCTTTTTCTCTTCCCCTGCCGTTACAAAACCTTTCAATCTTCCTTGTTCTTCTCACTGTAATTTTGAATTTTTCCATTCTTAAAAAAATGGGGAGTTGTTTGAGCAAGAAGAGCACTTCTTGTTCTTCTTCTAAATCTACTTCTACCACTGTAGTTCCAAACACAAATCAAGAAATCACCAAACCTAACACCCAATTGGAGAACAAGAAAGAGGTAGAAGGAGAAAATGTGAAAAAAGAAATCTTTGTTATCAAACACAGAAAAAGCCATGAAGTGGATAGAAAGTCTGAAGAAGAAAAGGCTAGTGTTAAAAAGGCTAATGAGGCGGTTGAATCTGCTAAAAATGGTAATAACAACGATGTTGCAGCAAGCAAAGAGAATGGGATTGTAGTATCAGCTCCAGTGAGGACTTCAAGTTGTACTAAAGAAGAGGTTGATGCTATTTTGATACAATGTGGGAGGCTTAGCAGGAGTTCATCCACTGGAAAGACTGGAATTTTAGGTTCCAGTGGATCTGATAATAATGGGAATCCTCAAAGGAGTAGAAAGTACTCTGGTTCAAAGAGGAGTTTTGATTTTGAGAATGAGAATGGAAATGAGGGGTTGCAAGAAAATGTAGTGGATTGTGAGGATGATGGAGTTCGTCGCCATAGGCAACGCTCGCGCCAGCCTAGGACGCCTAGTTCTCCGTCTAAGGGAAGGAGGAGAACCCCGAGTAGAGAAAGAGACCAGACACAACAGCAGCAGCAACGGTCGGGTAGTCGAGAAAGAGGCAGCAGTAGTGGAGGAGGGGGTAGAAGGGTGAGCAGATCTCCGGGTAGAAGATCTGAATCACCAATTACTACAACCTCAAATGGTGGTAACGTGGCTTCGGGTAATGCTAATGGAAATAATGGTGGTAGGCCAGGAAAGATGGTATCAGTGCCAGCTACTGTTACATCTATGGTGATGGATAAGAGCATTGATGTAGGTGCTGACAATATTTCTGCTGCTGCTATTAAGAGGATTCAAGTGAAGAGAAATGCTGATGGATCAAGAACTGCTGCATCTCCGCGTGCTCGGTCACCAGCAAGAGTGAATGCAAAGGTGTTGAGTGAGAGAGATAATAATCAACAGCAGCAGCCCATGTCCCTTAGCCGCAGTAATTCAAGGAAACAAGAACAATCTCCTTACAGAAGAAATCCTCTCAATGAGATTGACACCAATGTTGTCTTGGAGCAGATGCCCGTGCCAGGGCTGAAGGCTGTCAACAATAATGCCCCTTCCCAGGTTGGCTCTTTTTATTAGTTTCTAGACATTAAAATAATCATGTTTTAGTTAACTGTTTATAGACTTACTAATAATTGCTTGTACTAGCCACCTTTGATGCTATGGTTTGTATTAGAAAAAACTGATTGTATGTCTGATATGAGTTCTGTGTTTGTAGGTCTGCGTAAGGTTAAGTATGAAATTTGAGAGCGGAAACTATTTTAGTCTCATTAGAAACTTGTATTACGCGTGTAGGAATAAGTGTGAAATTTAGAGAATCCTAATAAAGATGAATAATATAGACCTCTATAAAGCCCAAATGGATATAGAGGATTCACATAACCAATCCCAATTAGTTTGGGAGTTAAGGGGTACGTAGTTGATCAATTGAATTAATATCAACATTTGTGCTCTCGCAGAAGTTGAATGCAGAAACTATAAGCAATGGCAAAGTCAAGGAGCAGCAGCAGAATGCAGGGAATGTTGCAATGAATGTGATTGTTTCAGGACCTGAAAGCCATAATAAACCCCAGAGAAGCAGGTCACTAAGGCTATCTAGAGACCTAGACATCAATCCTGAAACTCTCTCAAATCCACCTCAATCGTATACTTCACTATTGCTCGAGGACATCCAAAATTTCCATCAAAAGACTAATACCACCACCACTGCATTTTCCTTACCACCTTGTGTAACAAAAGCTTGCTCAATTCTTGATGCAGTTGCTGACCTTAACTCAACCACTAGCTCAAATCTGTCCAGTGCTTTCTCCGATGATAGGAGAAGAAACCCTCCCGCATCTGAGCAATTTAACCAGAATGATAACAAGAAGAGGTTAGCGATCAAGGATCCATTCATGGAATCTGAAGTTGCTGTGAGTGATGACTTAATGGAGCCAAGCATACAGAAGTATGTAACCTTCAGAAGGGGAACTGACATAGAAGATCAAGAATCCTCAGGAAGCAACAGTGTTGTTGGTGGTCAGCCAAACTGGCTTTCCCCTTCCTCATGGGAACCAAATTCAGCTGATTCTACTGACTGTTGGCCTACTTCAAAATCCTACAGTAGAGATGATAACAAGAGTCCTCTAGGATTTCAAAGGCATGCGGTATCTGAGATTGGACATGACATGGAAGAAGGCAAAAGAAGAGTGAATGTGAAGAAGAGGGATTCTTCTGACAACCAGCAAGCTGGAATAGGTCGCGGCAGGGTTGGACCGAGAGGCCTTCACACGATTTCTATGGCTGCTTCAACTTAAAAACATCGGACAATTTGTTAAGATGTAATGCAGTTTGTTTGAGGATAGATTTTCTAGTTGTGGTTGCACGCTTTGCAACTTTTTTTTTCTTTGAACAATTGTACGCTTTGCAGCCTTTTGTTTCATTGATTTACTTGAAGCAGATGTTCTTCATCCCTACAGCCTACTCTTTGGGCCCTGTGTCACAGTTACTCTATGACTTCTAAGATTTATTCCATGGTGCTAAAAATTGGAGTTTCACTTCACAATGCCAGGGAACAAGAGCATATAATACCCGTGTAATAATAGGGGATACCGTTTAAAACTTGACTGAGAGGATAGTATTCTTTACAAAAATTGAGGACTGCGTTTATCCTATAAAAGTCCTACGTTCCTACACTGATATGTAGATTACACTTATGATAGTTTTATTCCCCACAAATGAGAAGTCCCCAAGCATTTCATTGAATCAGTCTCTTTTGCCCCCTTTCTCTCACTATATTTTTATATATACACCATTTTGTGAAACTGATTATGCTAAAGCTAAACTCAACAGAATAGCCCCTTCAAGATGTTATAACGCATGATAGCCGACCCTCGCCCCGATATGGGCATTAGCTAAAAATGATTCTATTACATACCCGGTCTCGGAGGGACGGTTATTCCACTCGTTTTTATCTATCTTTTGAAGTATGGTGAGGGGACAGAGCAGTCTTTACATTCGAGTCATCTCCAAGCCGTCGTGCGGAGGGGAATTCTTCTTTATTTGCTCTTTCTTTATAGTGCAAACACATACCCGGATCAGCCTGGTTCTTCCCATGCCCCCCGGCTGGGGCCTGCTCTCCATCCCCTCCATTCTCTTGTCGTACAAGAAGAGATCCCGATGCAATTTTTTCTGCTGTAGAGACTTAAGGGAAAAAACAATGGGGTGAAATAAGTCACTTTTATAATTAAATATGTAAATCGCAATCACAATGATAGATGCAAAGCAACAGCCACAAACACTACCTCCTTATTGAACATCTTTGGAGTGCAGAAGTCATAGCAAGAAGGTGGAAGTGATTGTACATTTTTTTCAAGAATGAAATACTTATAGTAATTGCATTACCTTTCAGGAATTTCTTTATGATAGGATGTCTTACCCGGAAATGGAAGCAAAATTGGAGTGGAAAAAGCCAAGCTTTTTTCGTTCAACCTGCCACCAGAGAGTACAGTCAAAATTGGTCGTAACTGACTAATAACATGATACAATCTAGAGACTAGATTCATAGGTTAAGGTTTAGAAAACGAAAACCTGGATGTGAACTCTGCAGGTTGCGTTCTGTAAATACATACTGTACCTTATGGCATTTCCAAGGATAAAAGGCATAGAGCAAAACCAAGAGGTACACTTGTTAAAAAAATATTAGAATATTTTTATATTTATTCACAAGAAAGCTATTAAAATAGAAATGACTTGAGCAATTCAATTTAATATAGCAAACCCAGTATTATTACTATATCAACACAAAATAGTATGAGTACAACAGTGTCTACATATACTGAAAAAAAACATATATAAGAAAAAAAAAGATGAACAAAAAATTGTAAAGGAAAGAATCAACGAAATATGAAAAATTCAAGAAAATATTGGTGGACTATAATTGATGTATCAATCATCAATTAGAGCCTAAAACCAAACTTGCAATCACTATTCCTAATCCTGATAGCATTATTTGCAGACAAGCTATCCACATCTAGCTTACACTTAACCAAGAACTTCCATTTCATAAGCTTCAATTTTCCAATCTTGAGCTTCACTGGAACTTTTGCCCTGAGATTCAACGGAATACTTCCTTTCTGTTGATCAAGCTGCAATGACTGCAACAATTCACTAGCATTCTCTGTTTGTCCTGATAAATTCAAGCTTAAAACAGTTGTATTCCTATGACCCTGATAAAATTTTGGCAATGACCCTTCACATAGTTTAACACCAGTGTACCAAACACTTAAATGGCTACCACTTTCATAGTAAATTCCAATTTTCTTGTTGGGGTTTCTAGCAGTGATGTTAACATTAAAAGTAGCAAATAATAAGCTCATGTCATTGTTGAAATTGAACTGTGTAATCCTCATGCTGTCAACTGAGTAGTTTGGTATTTTAGGTTGGAAGACAAAGTAAAAAGCAGCAGCTAAAGCACCAATGATTATGATGAGAAAGAAAAGCAGGCAACATGTGCAACACAAGCATCTTTTGCAAGAACAAATTCTTTTCTTAGGTGGTTTTAATGGTGGATAATATGGGATTGTTCTTTTTCTCAAAGGTGGTGGTTCTAATTGCTGTCTCTCAGGGTCACCTTTTTCTGATCTGAAAGAGCCACGTGGTACTAAAGGAACAGTTGGTTTTTGTACTGGTGGCTCCTGTTCTGGCTCAGGAACTGGATGGATTCTTTGATGATCTGCCATGGAAGAAGAGGGAGGCGGATGTAACAGAAGAGTGTAGTATAAAGTTTTCTCCTTAGACTGGACTTAAGATGTTTGATATATATAGAAGACTGTCCTTAGACATAAATAAAAATTAGTGTCATATGTCAAGATCTATAATGTATATCTGTTGAAGCTTCCTTGTTTTGACTTTTTCTGAAGAGAGGTTGATGTGTCACTATCTTATAAATTTGCTATTTTAAAAGTACACACATGCCTTAACAAATATACATATTTGCTGACTGCTTATGGGAAAAAAGAAGGGAGGACTGAGGAGGGTGTTTTTTTATGGGTCAAAGAGGTGACGCGACGCGTTAATGTTTCTTAAAGTCAGTGTTTGGTTTGTGTGGAAGTATTGAACTCGTTTTGGCAAGTAGGCAATTTATTGGGGGTGAGGTTTTTCAACAATTCAATTTACAAAGTCTAAATGGTTTGAAAATAAGAGTGCTTTCATAATTGAATTAACTTCATTGCAATATGCCCAAAATGTTGGGCTGTCGGTAAAGAGTACAAAGAATGCAACTATATGTGATAAGACTTGTTTACACAAAATTATATTAACTTAATATAGTTACGTGATTTAATAAAGTAAAAATTATACATTATTAACTATGGTAAAGTTATTGATTTAGTATAAATACTCAAATATTTATACAAAAAGAATCGTTAGTGTACCTCTAAATCTACAACAAGAATAGAAGAAAAGCTTTAGGTGTTTAATCTGGCATTTAGTGATGCTGATAGAGTTACAACCAGTAAGTTATAAAGCATATAATTTGTAGATGTAATTTGTACATTCTTCTCTCTTTATTTTTCAGGCTTATCTTCTTCTTCTTTTAGTGCAAAAGAGAAATACTTTTGCGAATTTCACAAGGCAAAAAATATAGCCATAGTATTTGACCTCCATAACAATACATTTTTGTTGAGGGACATTATTAAACTTTAAAAGCTAAAAATGTGGGAGCTTTTCATAATTTTTAAAACTCAAGATTACCTAAAGAGTAAGATAATTCTCAAACGTCTCGGATGACATCCTGACTATTATTTTTAGAGTTCACAACTGTATTTGTTTTTGCTTCGGCAGTGATTCTTTTAGGTATATGACGAAGTCTTAGTTATCAAGAAAAGTAAGAAGTCACAAGAAGGAAAAAGTTGAGCAAGAAACAATGTTTTGTGGAAGCTTCCATAATGCTACGTAATATTTTACTAACCACTTTAAGCCAATTTTTTAATCGAACGCGGTGACGTTTTGAAACTTACCACATTTCCTAAGCCAAAAACGTGTATCATCAGCATGCCTTTTTTAAGGAAGGAACGGAGGAACTTTGGAGGGGTAGAGGAAGCTTGAGGTATTGAATTGAGAAGGAGAAAAACTTGTGAGAATGAACTTGTAATATGTGATTAGAGCAATTTTTACTATTAACTTTCTATGGCTACCATATAAATATTTACTTCCTATAATTTATATTTCGTTGCTATCGGATTGTATTCGCTATAATCACACTACCGTATTCAGGAATGCAGTCGCGAAATTCGCCTAATAAGTAGGGAGTCCAGCTATTTAATAACGGGAAGAGGATCAATTAGCGTGTATCACTCTTAATTTAACTCAACAAAATCAATTCTACAGAAATTCGTTGCTATTGTGTTGTATTTTATGTATTTGCGCGACTTTATTTATAAATACAGTGAGGTAATCCGCCTAAAAATAGGGATTATAGCTGCTTAATTCTGTATTCCATGTATTCGCATACTGTATTTATAAATATAGTGAGGTATTTCGCCTAAAAATAAGGATTACATCTGTTTAATTATGTATTCCATGTATTCGGGCAAATGTATTTATAAATACAGTGAGGTAATCCGCCTAAAAATAGTGATTACAGGTGTTTAATAACGGAAACGCAATATTGAATTGTATTCAATTTCACTATATTGAATTCAGTTGTATTCATACAACAAAAATTCGAGAATAGGGTATATACCATTCTATTCAATTCAATTATATACATTGTATTTAATTCATCGATATTCATTATTCATTATTATACATTGTATTCAATTCATCGTATTCAATTCGGCTGTATTCAAGCAATAAAAAATCAAAAAAACAGTGATGTTCGGCTGTATTAAAAAATACAGACCTTCGTAATACATAACTACAGGCGAAAATATAATGTATTTATATAAAAATACAATATATTTGAGTGTATTTGTACAGAATATAATGTATTTGTATTATTGTATGTGACTCAATAGCAAATAAGAGAAGAAAGTTCGTCATAGATGTCGTTTTCCAGCCAATCAAAATATTATATACATTATATTAAAACTAAAAATGGAACGAACAAAAATTCGGACCTCAAATCTTCTCCGACGACTCTGCTTCAGATTTCCAAAAGCTCAATCCGTAGCCATGGTCAGATATGTTCGCTTACTCTCACTTCATTTCAATTCTATTCTCTTCGCTTCAGAAAGTCCACCATCGCCAAAAGAAATGGTTGTTACGACTAGGGGTGTGCTTCGATTTTGACCCTTGTCAATAATTACTTATCGATTATCGATTTGTACATATGTTTATCGTTATCGTTTCAATAGGTTTTCGATTTTTTTGATTTCGATTTATCGATTTTTGGGGCTTATCGATTCGGTTATCGATTACACCAATAAGAAAATTTGCGGGATTCCACGGAAAGTATATCGCTATAAACACGCCTAACTAATATGGACAAAAAGAAGCTAAAATAAGACGAACACCATTTATAACATAAAAATTGTGTCAACAAGCACATGCAACGAAACTAAAGTAAGGGATCAAATGTATGTCACCAATACTCCTACGGTATAAAATCATTCCCCCTTATCGGTATAAAAATTGTCTTTTTAGTATATCTTATCGGTTTATCGATAAACCGATAACCGAAGAGTACAAAATCGAAATCGAAATTGTTAACTCGATAAGGAAAATTTCGAAATCGAAATCGATAAATCGATAAACCGATATAGATAAACCGATAACAAATAATCGATTCGATTTATCGATAAACCGATATAGATAAACCGATAACAAATAATCGATTCGATTTATCGATAAACCGATTCGAATGCACACCCCTAGTTACGACGGCTGCCATGATGAAAAAGGGAGAGATTTGAGGGAGGAGAGAGAGGATTGAGAATGTTGCTGAGAGAGAAGGAAGAGAGATAGAGAACATAATTGGAGTATTTCACACATCAATGATCGGTAATAAAATAAATACTTATTTTGTTATAAAATAAAAAAAATAGCTATAAGTAATAATATTTTGAAATTATTTTGGTTTATAATAAATAGGGTGTAGTAGTTTGCTATAGGAGTTAAAATTTCCTTTTTTATTTTCGACTTTGTAAATAGGTGTTAGAAATTCAAACCGTTCTGTTCGGTTTAATTTGATTCTTTTGTTGGGGTGGGGGTGTGGGGGCGCTTGAATACCAAATCCTCTTTGATTTTAAGGACAAGACTGAAATAGCGGCACATGTCTAGGTGCCTATCCATTCAATATGCATAGTGGAAAATTCATACTTAGTGACAAACCTAAAAGCCACTGGTTCTTCTGTATTTAGTGAACCAGCAAAATGCTGGATTAGTTCAACCTATTTACTACTACATAAATGTATAATCAAATAATTGAAAGGGGTTTTCACTGTCCAAGATAGTTATTTAGGTTGCCCGTTATCGTTATTTTTCTTTTCTTTTTCTAGTGGTTTAGTTAGTTGAACAAGTTGCCATCCTTTTTATACTTGGTAATGGAGACCAAAATACATACTTTAATGCCGACTCAAAAATCTGGAAGAGGATAAGAATTATTCAACGGGTATCAACAGAGAAATTCTTCATAATTTTTGGAGTTTTTATCTTTATCTTACTGGCTGAATTACTTGTAATTAGTTGGTCCCTGGGCATTCTTCTTCCTGAAATGCGGCTTTTTGGGCTATTCACCTTTGGGCTTTAGAGTATATTCTTCTGTTGGGCTTATTAGCTTCTTTAGTCTTTGGGCTTTGATTGAGTCAAACGTAAAAATAGCATGGGATAGCCACTATTTAAGGTGGTATTTATTTTTTATCCAGCAATTCTAATGTTGAGCAAAAATAGCCACTACTCTATTAAAATTAATATGAAAAGACATTTTTACCATTTCTTCCATTGCTTTTCTTCTCAAACCCTCGCTTTTCACTCTGCATCGAATACATGGGCTCTGGTTTCTTGATTAAGAACTAAACTAGCTGGGTGTGGCTCTTACAGAGGAAGTTAGTTCATTTAATCTATAATTTTTAGATGGAAAATACAAGAAAAGGAAAAGGAAAACACAAACAAGTGTTTCTCTTTTCTCTGTTTGAGATATTCACAAATAAAAATTAGTGCAAATGGGGTATTTGTTGAAAGAGGTTTTGAAGACACTTTGTGGAGTGAATTAATGGTCTTAGGCTGTTTTTTGGAAGTGGAAGATCAGTTGCTAGAATACCAATTGAGTTTTCATATTTCAATGAATCAAATTCTCTTTTTTTTTATGTGGGTCCTAAACTTAGAGTTGGAAGTTCTAAAATTAAGGACATTTGGTCCTTAACTTAGAGTTACAAGCATATAAATTAAGGATAAGACAGTTCTTATTTTAGAGTTACAAGTTCAAAAGTTAAGGATACTTGGTCTTGAACTTATACTAACAAGCTCAAAAGTTAAGGACTATAGGTCCTGAACTTACAGTTACAAGTTCAAAAGTAAAGATAATAGGTCCCGAAGTTTGAGTTCCAAGTTCAAAAGTTAAGGATAATAGGTACTTAACTTTGAATTCCAAGTTCAAAAGTTAAGGACACTTGGTCCTTAACTTTGAGTTACAAGTTAAAAAGTTAAGGACACTTGGTCCTTAACTTTGAGTTCTAAGTTCAAAAGTTAAGGACACTTGGTCCTTAACTTTGAGTTCTAAGTTCAAAAGTTAAGGACACTTGGTCCTGAATTTTAACTTACAAGTTCCAAAAGTTAAGGACATTTAGTCCTTAACTTTGAATTCTAAGTTC